ATTAATAAGAGATGGCGCCTAACGCTTACCTCTAGTGCCAAATTAATTACGTAATTTATTTAGTAATTAGCCTTAAAACTAGCCCGATGGATTTACGGCATATGTTTGGTGATTAGCTATATTACATCGGGTTTAGCGATGATTATATATATTACGCCTTGCCGGGGCTTGCGATGGCCGGTTGAGTGCCTTATAGGAGTAGGACGTGGGCACTGAATGTGTCCCCAGCCGGCATTGTAATAACCGTCGATGGTTACATAGTTATACGCTGGAAGAGGAGATCGGATCGGAGGTCCGGATAGCGTAACTGGCAACGCATCTGCACGGTAAGCAGGAGTTGTGGGTTCGAGTCCCGCTCCGAGCCGATTTTTTCTCCCAGCGGTTCTAAATTATTTAAATTAATTAATTTATTTATAATTATTAATATTAATAAGAGATGGCGCCTAACGCTTACCTCTAGTGCCAAATTAATTACGTAATTTATTTAGTAATTAGCCTTAAAACTAGCCCGATGGATTTACGGCATATGTTTGGTGATTAGCTATATTACATTGGGTTTAGCGAAAGAAAATTTATTATATATTTATTAATTTTTAAAAATATATTTGTATTTTGTTATAATTCATTTATTTTAAATACAAAATGCCAGAATTTATTAAGTATGTAGTATTCTTTGTAGTATTTGTGTTTAGTAGTTAAATTATTTTGACCCAGTTGAATTTGAATATTTTTGAATCACTCCTTTATTATCCCCATTCTAAATAAGTACTCTGTTTTTCTGAATGAGTAAGACTAATGTATCAATGTATATATTTTTATTTTCTGAACAAGGAGCTGAAATAACTAGATCATACTCTGTTCTGTTGGACTAACTTTTCTGCAAGGGTGAAATTGAAGTGCAAATTCTGTTGAATATATGTAGATGTAGAATTTTTTCACCCCCTTTCTCCTCTTATTAAATATTTGTTAAAAATTAATTTTTTTATACAAATAAATATTAATGTAAGTTAAATATTAAAAATATTAACTATAAAAGTATTTGGGTAAATGCTCCAAGCTCCTTTCAGAGTTCAGAGTAGGTACCCCCTATGAGTGCCTCTGCCCCCCATAAAATGACTTGATATTTAAGGAGTTTGAGTATATTGATCGATTATTGTTTATAAATGATATTTGGTTTTTATTCATAAAGCAATTAATAAAACTAAATCAATTCTTATAAAATAATAATTTTAAAGGTTTATTACATTTACTTATTATAATTTCAGATCCACAATCTCCTGTAGGAACTACAGTAGCAGAATGTTTTCAGTCTCCAACTGCAGGAACCCCACCATCCAGTGCCAGGCGGCGACTCTTTGGACCAACACAATCAAATGCTGTTACTGTTGCTGTTCCACAACCTCAAGCTCAGAATACTGTTGGAGATCAGTTACCTACAGTTACTCCTGCCAGTTCTGCTGTGATGAGTCCTGGAAGATCATATTCTATAACATTACAACGTAAGTTAATACTTTCCATTTTATAACTTATAATTAAAGTTAAGAGAGTAAACTTTTATTAAATTTTTATATTATTAGTTATACTTCTGATTAATTCTAGATTATGTTTGTTAAAAAAAAATTATTTAAAAATGTTAATTTTATTTACAATAAAACTTGATTGAGGGGTTTATGTGCAATGATGCAAAAACATATTTTTCTAATAATTAGTTTACAATAGTTCAGAAATGCATAGATGATGATTAACTTAACACACAATTTTTTACTTCTTGTTTTAAATTAATAATTTTAAGTAAAAAAATAATAGAAGTACATGGCCGGCATTATTTACATTAAATAAATACATAAAAATATAAATACGACTTTTACAAAGGTAAAACCTTGCTTTTGTCATTCTTTTCATCACCAGAGGACACTTTACCTGATTTTACATTGTTTTTTGCAGAGGTAGTAGCCTCAAAAGGAAGTTCAGCTCCATAACTTTGTGAATTGTTTAAGGACTGCTGATGGTGTGAATGGCAAAAAGAATGACAAAGGTTTTACCTTTGTAAATGTCATATTTATATTTTTATGTATTTATTAATAATTTTAATTCAAATTAATTGTAAAAACTTTTTTTGTAATATACAGGTAGCCCTTGGTTTACGCCGTAGTTCTGTTCCTACAAAAGCCAGCGCAAATCGAATCGGCATAAAACGAACCCATATTTACACTGAGGTATATGGTTAGGTTCCACATAAGTGAAAAATACGCAAATAATTTTGTTTATTAATACAATATAATACAAAGTACAAATAAATTTAATTTTTTAAAATATATTTTATCATAAAATAAAGTTAAATGTTTTTATTAAAAATTTTAGTTTTGGATCTCTTACATTTTTCGGAAAAAGTATCCATCTTTAATTGTTTACATTTTTGTTTTCTTTCATTGAGAATTTCAGAATATGGTCAAATGGATGCGACGATACTCCTTTTTACATTCACACTTCGTTCCCAATCATTATCTAACTCACAAAGTTCAACCGTCAAACTTTCCATAGTCGAAAGGATACGTTAACCAGACGTAGAGCTACGGACGAGCGGAGACACTGATTGGTCGACCACCGGTCGCTGTAGCACATATGTAAGGTCAGTTTGAGTGGGAAAATTAAGGAGAGATAGATATCGTCTGGCCAACGAGAAGTAGATTTGTCTCACTAACGATAGTTTGTGCTCGCCAGAAGTGCTATTGCGTTGTAAGGTGTTTTCCTGAACGAACTGATACGGGATAAATTCAATGGCACTATGGATTCGGACACCATTTATTGGACTATTAAGTTTGATAACTTGACTCGTGGGTACCTAAACGTTTAGTGTTTTAATATTAATTTAATGCAAATGTATACATACCCAATAATATTAAACAGAAAAAATAAATATATTCAATAAAAATCTTTGTTTTAACGAATGTACAATGTCGCGGCTTGGTAAATACGTCAACACTGAAATGAAAATCAGTCTGGCATAGGGAAAATCGGGGAATTACACAGCAAAATTGCGAATTGTGCAGCAGCATTATTGTGAATCGGCATAAATTGAATCGGCGTAAACCGAGGGCTACCTGTATTACATATTAGACACCTACACAATTCATAGAAAATTTTTAATTTATTAGTTGGCATTTTGAATACATTACCCATAGCTTAAGTAAATGGTTGTGGCTTAATTGTTATTGTGAGTATGTATTTGTATAGTTTATGCTAAACAAAATTCTGTATTTATGAAATCACATTATAGAAAATTGAGAAATGGTGTTTTTAATTTTAATCAATTAATTACTGATTGGAAACAGAATTGATAAAGCTGTTTAAGTGGACTATCATCTTGACAGTTAAGTCCTGTTGATTGCAGATTCAACAGGACTTAAGTGCCTCATCTCTTGGCCACTCAAATTAATGAATTGGTGAAGAATCTTATACTTTTTTTAAACAGTTGCTCCACCTCTAGTTGACTTATTGCATGAAGAAATTTTATAGATTATTTATTTTTAGCAGAGGAATTTTATTTAGATGAACCATATTTCGATATCTTTAATCTAAACAAATGATATGCTTTTATTTTATACTTGAGGGAAGATGAAAAAATTTAATTATAAAAAATTTAACATTTTATAATATTTTACATTAGCAAAAAGTTATAACATTAAAATTTAAATCTTCATCAGAAATTTGAATTAAATTTTGCTAATCAAATATAATTAAATACTGATTTATTTAATAATTACTTAAGCAAAAATTAGGTAATAATTTGCAATTGCAGAATTATTTTATAGTATATCTGGTCACCATCATTATCATTTTCATAAATGTGTTGACTAAAACTCTTTTCCTCAGCCTTGTGTGACTCTGCTAAGTTAATTTCCTTGTATTTCACTTGTGAGTATGCAAACCTTTGCTAGGATAGATTTATCTGGGTTATTTTTAAAAAATCTAGTAATGTTTGCCAGCATTCCTTTAGAAATCTGTTATCCTTCTTTAGATTGTAGATTGTTAAAGTACAGGAGTAAACTTTGTATTTTATAATATGCAATCTAAAAAGCAGTCTTATAATAACCAAAAGTATTCATTATTGTATTTTATTTGATTAATTTAAAATGTTAATATTACAATGTTATAGATAGTAATTTTTTAGTTTTATAATTTTTTTTTATTTGTTAGAAAATTTAAAAATGCCAAAATTTACATTAATATGTAATATAAAACTATCTTTTAGTATTATGAACTTCAAAAGCAAGAAAAGTAATATATATTTTTGTGAATATTTTCAGTATCTTCACATTTACAATAAACCAATAGAATAAGAATATCAAGTTTATTAAGTTTGAAATCTTATGATTGATTTTTTAAAACTAAATTTCTACTAATTGTCAATAATATGAACTTACTTAAAATAAAAATCAAATATAATATTTATTCTTCAACATGTATTTTTGAAGTTTGTAATTTCAGCTTTACATTACATATTCTTTTGTTTACTTTTACAATTTATAATATTAATACTTATAATTTATCCACTTCTAATATTTTAAATAGTAAATGTAGTTATACTATCATACATATATATAATAAATTTTTCTTACATCATTCATTTGGAATACTCATTAAAGAAAAAGCATAATAATTTTCTCTGTTTATTTTTGTTCTATAGCAATACAAAGTGATAATGGCATAGCCTATATTTCCATTCCTACATTTACATTGTCTACTACACAAATACCAGTGCCTGCTAGTACAACTGCAACAGGAATTCCAACTCCAGTTGCAACTCCAGAACCAACTGTTACTGTTGCAATGCCTACTGTAAACAAATCAACAAACAAGCCAAAAAGAACAGGTTCTTTGGGACTATTTTTTCGAAAGGTAATCTAAAGAATTATTAAAATTAATGGCTAAATAATCATTGAGCTACTTTTATTGCTTGTTTCTATGCACATTATTGTAGCTGCATTACACAAAATTTTCAATAATTATTTTTGTGAAATTCTGCATATGCAAGTATCAAAATATAAAATTGAAGTCCACACAAAAAGTAACATATTTCTATATATTTTTTTATATGAATCACTAACAATATTCATCTTTTTATTTTTTATTGCAGTAAAGTCCTAAAGCACTAAAGATAACTGTCCCTAAAGACTAAACAAAAAATACTTAGATAAAATACAAACTAATAAAAAAGTTAAATAGACAATAAATCACTGACAATAAATAGTGATGTTTGTGCTCGCCAGAAGTGCTATTGCGTTGTAAGGTGTTTTCCTGAACGAACTGATACGGGATAAATTCAATGGCACTATGGATTCGGACACCATTTATTGGACTATTAAGTTTGATAACTTGACTCGTGGGTACCTAAACGTTTAGTGTTTTAATATTAATTTAATGCAAATGTATACATACCCAATAATATTAAACAGAAAAAATAAATATATTCAATAAAAATCTTTGTTTTAACGAATGTACAACGTCACGGCTCGGTAAATACGTCAACACTGAAATGAAAATCAGTCTGGCATAGGGAAAATCGGGGAATTACACAGCAAAATTGCGAATTGTGCAGCAGCATTATTGTGAATCGGCATAAATTGAATCGGCGTAAACCGAGGGCTACCTGTATTACATATTAGACACCTACACAATTCATAGAAAATTTTTAATTTATTAGTTGGCATTTTGAATACATTACCCATAGCTTAAGTAAATGGTTGTGGCTTAATTGTTATTGTGAGTATGTATTTGTATAGTTTATGCTAAACAAAATTCTGTATTTATGAAATCACATTATAGAAAATTGAGAAATGGTGTTTTTAATTTTAATCAATTAATTACTGATTGGAAACAGAATTGATAAAGCTGTTTAAGTGGACTATCATCTTGACAGTTAAGTCCTGTTGATTGCAGATTCAACAGGACTTAAGTGCCTCATCTCTTGGCCACTCAAATTAATGAATTGGTGAAGAATCTTATACTTTTTTTAAACAGTTGCTCCACCTCTAGTTGACTTATTGCATGAAGAAATTTTATAGATTATTTATTTTTAGCAGAGGAATTTTATTTAGATGAACCATATTTCGATATCTTTAATCTAAACAAATGATATGCTTTTATTTTATACTTGAGGGAAGATGAAAAAATTTAATTATAAAAAATTTAACATTTTATAATATTTTACATTAGCAAAAAGTTATAACATTAAAATTTAAATCTTCATCAGAAATTTGAATTAAATTTTGCTAATCAAATATAATTAAATACTGATTTATTTAATAATTACTTAAGCAAAAATTAGGTAATAATTTGCAATTGCAGAATTATTTTATAGTATATCTGGTCACCATCATTATCATTTTCATAAATGTGTTGACTAAAACTCTTTTCCTCAGCCTTGTGTGACTCTGCTAAGTTAATTTCCTTGTATTTCACTTGTGAGTATGCAAACCTTTGCTAGGATAGATTTATCTGGGTTATTTTTAAAAAATCTAGTAATGTTTGCCAGCATTCCTTTAGAAATCTGTTATCCTTCTTTAGATTGTAGATTGTTAAAGTACAGGAGTAAACTTTGTATTTTATAATATGCAATCTAAAAAGCAGTCTTATAATAACCAAAAGTATTCATTATTGTATTTTATTTGATTAATTTAAAATGTTAATATTACAATGTTATAGATAGTAATTTTTTAGTTTTATAATTTTTTTTTATTTGTTAGAAAATTTAAAAATGCCAAAATTTACATTAATATGTAATATAAAACTATCTTTTAGTATTATGAACTTCAAAAGCAAGAAAAGTAATATATATTTTTGTGAATATTTTCAGTATCTTCACATTTACAATAAACCAATAGAATAAGAATATCAAGTTTATTAAGTTTGAAATCTTATGATTGATTTTTTAAAACTAAATTTCTACTAATTGTCAATAATATGAACTTACTTAAAATAAAAATCAAATATAATATTTATTCTTCAACATGTATTTTTGAAGTTTGTAATTTCAGCTTTACATTACATATTCTTTTGTTTACTTTTACAATTTATAATATTAATACTTATAATTTATCCACTTCTAATATTTTAAATAGTAAATGTAGTTATACTATCATACATATATATAATAAATTTTTCTTACATCATTCATTTGGAATACTCATTAAAGAAAAAGCATAATAATTTTCTCTGTTTATTTTTGTTCTATAGCAATACAAAGTGATAATGGCATAGCCTATATTTCCATTCCTACATTTACATTGTCTACTACACAAATACCAGTGCCTGCTAGTACAACTGCAACAGGAATTCCAACTCCAGTTGCAACTCCAGAACCAACTGTTACTGTTGCAATGCCTACTGTAAACAAATCAACAAACAAGCCAAAAAGAACAGGTTCTTTGGGACTATTTTTTCGAAAGGTAATCTAAAGAATTATTAAAATTAATGGCTAAATAATCATTGAGCTACTTTTATTGCTTGTTTCTATGCACATTATTGTAGCTGCATTACACAAAATTTTCAATAATTATTTTTGTGAAATTCTGCATATGCAAGTATCAAAATATAAAATTGAAGTCCACACAAAAAGTAACATATTTCTATATATTTTTTTATATGAATCACTAACAATATTCATCTTTTTATTTTTTATTGCAGTAAAGTCCTAAAGCACTAAAGATAACTGTCCCTAAAGACTAAACAAAAAATACTTAGATAAAATACAAACTAATAAAAAAGTTAAATAGACAATAAATCACTGACAATAAATAGTGATAAGATACATAAGTAACGAAGTTACGAGATACTGTATACAAAACTCAAAAAATTACATTGTAAAATGTACAAAATATAAAAAAAATATGATGCAAAATAAAGTATAAAAAATATAATAAAAATATACATGAAAAATTTACAAAATATGTAATATTATAAGAAAATAATTATATAGTAAAAATTTAAGATTGGAAACTGTATAAGCATAAGACAGATTTGTTTTTTAAATAGTTTAAATTACAAAATAAAATGTTTTCTGCCAGATAAGTATTTTGAAAATGCTCTATAAAAGGTTCTAGAAATATTAAGTCTAAATTTAGAGATTATTAAACAAGTAGTATTTATAGTTAACCAGTGTGGGATTCTTAAATTAAATTTTTAAATTTAATTTAACTATTTCACACACTGGTTAACTAGAAAAGAGACAAACATTAAAAAATTTAAAGTATAAGACTCAGTCAAAATATATAATTTAACAAGAGAGGGGCTCACCAATTCTTGGTCTAGCTATTTCATCAGAATTGGTAAGTTGGAAATTTATTAAAAAGAAGGTATGTGTTTTTGAGTGAGAAGAGAAATAAATTGATGGTTGATTAATTTAAGGAAAAATGTTCAAAGATTTTATGAAGATGTATATTTTCAATATAAAATTGAAAATATACATCTTCATAAAATCTTAATTATATATATCAGCCCAAGATTATTTAACTGAGTTATTTATTTTCTTTATTGAAGATTAAGGCAATACAAGCAACGTTTGAGTCCTTTTTCCTCTTTAAATCCTTTGTAATTCCAATTCAGGAACCACAAACAGCAGGTGACTTGAAGTAAAACTTCTAAAAATAACAGACAAATACTATCAAAAAACTTGTACACAATTAAAAATGATCTTGATGTCAACCCTTTTTTGTAGGCTACGACATCTACAAACATTAAAAATCATTAAAAATCTTTCTCAACAGCATCGATGTTATATAATTTCATATAATGAAAATAAATAACTCATTTAAATAATCCAGGGCTAATATGTATAATTATGTAAATAATTTTTGACTGCTCAAAAATCCACCAGAGGACTCTCAGCTTATAAATGTGATTATATAACATGGATGCTGTTGAGAGAGATTTTTAATTTTTGTAGACGTCTTAGCCTACAAAAAAGGGTTGACATTGAGATCATTTTTAATTGTGAGTAAGTTTTTTGATAGTATTTGTCTGTTATTTTTAGAAGTTTTACTTCAAGTCACCTGCTGTTTGTGGTTTCTGAATTGGAATTACAAAGGATTTAAAGAGGAAAAAGGACTCAAACGTTGTTTGTATTTCCTTAATTTTCTTTTTAGAAGTTTATCTTTTGAAAGTAAATGAATGTATATGTATTTATATTTTTTTTCCATATTAATATATATTATTTTTTACTCTATCCACTCTGTGGGCACTAAAATGCGTATTTATTAGTGATGTAACGAATATTCGGTTACTATTCGGTATTCGGCCTATTCGGCCTATTTTTCACTATTCGGCCGAATACCGAATATTTAATCACTATTCGGCCGAATACCGAATACCTAAAAACAGAAGTAAAAAATAACAAAAACACAGTAAATTAATCATTTTGGTATTTAGATTTAATGTTATC